ATTATTATATATATATATATATATATATATATATATATATATATATATATATATATATAAAATATATATATTTAATATATACATAATACATCTTTAAACGAATAAATGTTACGTAAATTGTATATTGTGTGCTTTCGCACGAAGTTTCACGAATCATTGGTATTAATTATTACGGTATTAATTATTTTTACGTAACGCAATCGTCTGCGTATATTTCCAATAAAATTTTCCTGCTGGTTCTCGTACGCTCCTGTTTTTGCTTCTTTACCCTCTGTTCCTCTTCAACAATAAAAAAAAGGGGGAGGGGGGGAAACATCTCGAAATATATCTATTATACGGCGCACATTTAAAACATCCGCCATTTGGCGAGTAAGCCAGAATTCTGCACTTTTCATTTTCTCTCTTTTTCTCTACAAATCTCTCTCTTCGTCTAATTACATACCTGCCTCGTGTGTAGATTTCAGAAAGTGCAGTTACAAATATCGGATCTATCATATTATAAATATTCAAATGTATACCGCGATCGCCTCGCTTCTTTCTTGCCAAATCAATGATGAAAACGGGCGATAAAATTTTACGAGACGCGATCATGAGGATCGGACTTATGATCTTTGACATCGCGCGGCGAGTCCCGACGTCACGTCGTTCTTTCTCATCCTGCAATTATGATCGCGCGCCGGCGACAACAAAACATGGCGGTGTCAAAGGTCAGGAGAGATGGACTCGCGGGTTAGTATGTTGGGGCAACGTGCACGTTCGTAGTTACGTAATTCCCAGCCGCGTGGCATCTTCCCCCTTTTTTCCTTCCTCCTCTTGTCCGGCTGATATGCGACTGCTCCGTGCCGCCTCGTTGAAGGTATGATGCACCAACGAGCAGAGAGGGGATCGTGACATTGATATGACATTCAAATTTCAGCCGGTCCATGCCGCGGTCACGCCGCCGATTTCGCTAATCGTGCGCCGGGCATCGTGGTAGAGACAATGGGCGGCAAATGGTCAAGCATGGATCCCTCGGAGGTTAAGGTACCGGAGATAGACGCCCTTCTCGAAAGGGACCCGTACCTGAAGCCGTACGAAAATGACATTCGTCGGAGGTACATTTTTTTATTTATAGCAATTTACGTACGCAACGTGTTGCATTTTTATGCAACTTTGTGACGTTGCTCCTAGTAATAAACTGGTCAGGAATATCATTATGATAAGATCATCTCTGCCCTTGTAGGTATGCTTTGTTTATGGATTATATTGATAAGATAGAAGAAGGTGACGGAGATCTGAAACGATTTACTAGCTCGTATGAGAGTTTTGGTATTCATATCAAGGGTGACAATAGTGTCATCGCGAAAGAGTGGGCACCTGGTGCGCAGGAGGTATTTCTGACTGGAGATTTCAGTACGTGTTCCTTCTAACGCGTCAATATATTTTATGTACATTCTTCTGATCAGTACGACGGTTTTATCTAGATAATTGGCAAAAAACCACTGTGCCATACAAAAAATTAGAATATGGTAAATGGGAGCTACAGCTTCCTCCAAATGCAGATGGCAGTTGTCCTTTAAAGCATCTCTCTGAAGTCAAGCTTATTATCAAAAGTCACAACAATGAGTTACTTGAAAGATTAAGCCCTTGGGCAACTTATGTTACTCAGCTGGCAAATAAATCTGAAGGGACTACTTACAAACAACGTATATGGCATCCAGAAAATGTATTAGATAACTCATTAGAGATGGCATGTAATCAATGAATTTACAATATTTTTGTTTCAGGTATACAAATTCAAACACCCCAAACCAAAGAGACCAGAAAGTCTTAGGATTTACGAATGTCATGTTGGAATTAGTACACAGGAATGTCGCGTTGGCACCTACCTGGAATTTGCTAGGGATGTGATACCTAGAATCGTAAGACAAGGATACAACGCGATACAACTAATGGCAATAATGGAACACGCTTATTATGCTAGTTTTGGATATCAGGTTACACATTTATACATGTAATGAATTAAGAGATAAGATAACTATCTTATTTCTTAAAGCAAGTATGTGTCAGCTCTGTAATGTGCTATGTTAAAATTTAAGGTTACGTCTTTCTACGCGGTCTCGTCCCGCTATGGAACTCCGGAAGAATTAAAAGAACTGGTGGATGTGGCGCATCAGCATGGTCTTTACGTTTTACTGGATATTGTACACTCCCACGCTTCCAAAAATACTTTGGATGGGCTGAATATGTTCGATGGTACGGATGCGTGCTTCTTTCACAGCGGTTCTCGTGGCGAGCATTCCCTGTGGGACAGCAGATTGTTTAACTACGCGGAATACGAAGTACTTCGGTTCTTACTGTCCAATCTACGTTGGTACATTGAGGAGTATAGTTTCGATGGATTCAGGTACTTGATTTTTATAAGAATAAATTTATAGCACTGTACAAAATAATCATTATTAGTTATTGGAATTGTGATTATTCGGCAGATTTGATGGCATTACATCAATGTTATATCATTCGAGAGGTTTGGGACAAAGTTTCAGTGGTCATTACGATGAATACTATGGTCTGAATGTCGATGTGGAAGGCATAGTGTACTTGATGCTCGCCAACCACATGCTGCACGAAATATATCCTGAAATTGTCACAATAGCCGAAGACGTTAGTGGAATGCCAGGTGTTTGCAGGTATGAGACTTGAGTCAATTTTTGTTGGTTAAAGAAAAAAAAAAAGATATTCATTTTAATCATTTCATGAAATATTCTAGGCCAGTTGCCGAAGGCGGGATGGGATTTGATTATCGGTTAGCCATGGCTATTCCCGACAAGTGGATTAAGCTATTGAAAGAAGTCAAAGATGACGACTGGAAAGTCGGCGATATTTGTTGGACGCTCTCCAATCGAAGGTGGATGGAGAAAGCGGTTGCTTATTCTGAATCTCACGATCAAGCCCTCGTGGGCGATAAAACAATTGCATTCTGGCTCATGGATAAGGAGATGTATACACACATGAGCATGCTAAGTCCGCACAGCGAGATTATTGCTCGTGGCATTGCCCTTCATAATCTAATCACGCTAATCACGCATGCTTTAGGCGGAGAAGCTTATCTCAACTTCATAGGTATACAATAGTCTTAATTTAATTCTTTGCTGAACATTCATACGCAATTTCGCGTTTAATTCACAATTGAGAAAAAAAAAAATATGACAAAAATATATTTTATAGGCAACGAATTTGGCCATCCTGAGTGGCTGGACTTTCCGAGAATTGGAAATTCAGACAGCTATCATTATGCCAGACGTCAGTGGAATTTAGTGGACGATGAATTACTCAAGTATAAATATATGAACAATTGGGATCGCGCTGTAAATACGCTCGAAGAAAAGTACGGATGGTTGCATGCCCATCCCGTAAGTAGTTTTACATTTTTATTTTTGTCACTATCTTTGAAAAACGAATAAACCATTTGAATTTTAGGGCTACGTGAGTTGGAAGCACGAAGACGATAAGGTGATCGTGTTCGATCGAGCTGATCTCGTATTCGTCTTTAACTTTCATCCAGTCAAATCATTTGCCGATTATCCGGTCGGTGTAAAAAATCCAGGAACATACAAGATCGTTCTATGCAGCGACGATGAACAATTCGGAGGTGAACGTCGTGTAGATACGAGCGTGCAGCATTTCACGCAACCAGAAGCGTTTTCCTCTTATCCAAACAAAATGATGATCTACATTCCGCGTCGTACTGCATTAGTCTATGCACAAAGTGGTAACGTATCATCACAATACATTCAGACTACTAATATTGCTTGTAGCGATTAATAAATATTAATAAAAACTAATTGAATTTCAGATCGCTAGTAGTTGTCTCTCGTGAATGAAGACTGTTTAAGAATCACAAATAATAGATCTATATAATATAAATAAGTAGAGATTTATTTTTGTAAAATATAATTCGATAAAATTTGTCTTCCTTATTAGGAAATTTTAAAATCGATAATTGCGTTTATATATTTACAGTTATTAGACATCTGTTTATTTGTTTTATCAAATTTTTGTATCCTGTAGTTACCGAATCACGAATATATACATGTTTTCCAAAAACTTACATAATTCTTACTTTCTTATATAATTAAGAACATTTTTTTCCTAAAATTTATTATGCTGAAACGGTGCCATTGTTTGTAACACTGAATTCGGCTTCATTTACATCATAGTCTTTCATCTTTTTTTCTAATAACCACCATTTTTCAAGGAATCCTACGTCCACTATCCTTTCATAAAAAGTTACATATCGTGGTTTTAGATAAGGACAGACTGCTTTATAGGAAGAACAGTCTTTGTCGTAATTATCTAACCAAATCAAAGACAGAACACCCAAATTAAGTCTTCTGATTAGTCCCTCGTTATAGCATTGTTCCAACCATTTTACATGTTGAACAGAAATGGGATTGCGTATAGGTTCTCCTACTTGTATTAGTTTTGTACTGCTTTGTATCAATTGCTCCCTGAACATAGTTTCATCCGGATTGTGTCGATTAGAATAGAAACAAGCTCCTAGAACTACGATACAGATACTTATAGAATATTATTAATACATTTATCATATATTAAAATCAATAAAATGTCGACACAGAAGAAACGGTGTACATCACGCACCTGTTATGTACATCGCAGCACGTACTGGACGCTCCCTGCAATCTTTGGCTACATCGAAGGCGACATCCTTGTAATCGATGTACAGACCGTGCCAGTATTTCGCTGATAAAATGATAAAGCTATGCGCATCACTCGAATAATAATAATAAATTCAATTTATTATTTACCCCAGCGTTCAAGGACAGTGCCTCTGATCCTCTCGGGCATCTCGTAGCTTCCAATTTTAGTGCCGATCTCATTAAACCTCGACGTGAGCAGCCTGAAGGCCGCTTTGAGTCTATGAGGAAGTTGGAATATTTGTTGGGTATTCATGTCAAACCACCACAGAGATCTCAGTCACGACGAGATCATTATATGATTATTTCAGCGCCGGTCGAGCGACAGTCACGAAAGGTTACCTCTACACGGAGAACCTAACCTCAAATTCAAAACTCACGAGATATTCGGCACAGAACTCGCGTCAGTGACGTCACATCAGTCTGATTGGCTGTTCTCTCAGGGATTTCTTCAGGGAAACGAGATGAAAAATACAAGAAGAGGAAATTTACTAGTTTTCGACGTATGAAATTGCAGAGACTCTAGTGAATTTCTTCACTTTTGTAATTTCCACCTAGTTTTAAAATACACAAATCGATTTCGGAGGCGTATCTTTTATCTTCCGCTATCCGCGATCGTGTCGCTGTCGTACAACATCGGTCAAAAGTTTCGAAAAGTTTCGCGCTCCCTGCCTGATACGATCGAGGAGGCGGATCCGCGGTGCCGGTTCTCGACTTCTTTAACCTACCCGCGCGACCAGATCCGGCCAAGTCGTCCGGTCGTGCCGTCGATCACGCCGTCGCGCTGACGTCATGCTCGATCAGCTGCGAGACGCTTCTGGAACGCGGTCGATCTCGCGCGGCCTGTCAACGGCGTACGCGAGTGCGTGATAACAACTACTCCGTTCCTGTCGGCTGTTACACCTTTCTGTGACCTCTTACACCCGTGAGGATACACGTCTACTTGAAATAGAGTAAACCGGTGCCACCGGCGCTTCGAGGGGAAAAGACGAGGCGAAAGAAGGCACGAGATCGAAGAAACGCGCAGTCCTTAGATATCTGTACGCTTCGGCGAAGAGGAAGCGGAAAGAGATAAAATTGCGCGGCGGCAGAAGAGGGAGGGGAATGTAGGCGGTGCAATTAAGAGACGGACAGACGGACGAACGGACGGGCGGGCTGGCTGTCCGCCGGTACAGTCATCCCCCGCCCCCAGTTCGTCGCTCGACAACGCACGAGGTGCAGCGGGAGTGCGAGCGCGCAAATGTCAGACGGCTCGTGACGGCGCGAGGCGAGGAGTAGGAATGTGACCGAGCGCAGCTTCTCACCGGGCGGAATTTAAATTCTCTCAGCGGTGGATCATCCGCGGGGACGGGGGGGATACACGATGGAGGGCCACCAGGTACGTCGGGAAGCCATCCGCTGGTCCGAGAGCCGCTTTTATGGCTCCACGTCGCTCCGAGTTCGCTCAACCCGTTATGACTCATTCTGTTATTACAAGCGCGCGGGACGACTCTTTGTCCGCTTTGTCTCACGAATATTTCTCACATCTGTATTCTCATTCTCTTCTATTTCCAGGTAAGAGCACTGTACGACTTTACGGGCGAGTCGGGGACGTCGGAGCTGTCCATCACCGCCGGCGAACTCCTGACTGTCATACGGGACAACGTAGGAGATGGCTGGTGCGAGGGATTTAATCAGAGCGGGCAGTCGGGACTGTTCCCCGCGGCGTACGTCCAAGTGGTCGAGCAAACAGCGCCTTCTTCCAGTACGTTCGGTACTTTCATTTACATAAACATATATAAGCTTCGAGTGATATCCATTGTTGCGTTATCTATTTATTATTCTATGTTAATACGATACGATCATTTGATAAGAGATAAGCTACTTCAGAAAATTATATAACGACGTTTATATCGACATAATTGGTTCTGTACTTTCGACCATCAAAGAGGCATTTGGTTTGTTCTGCCTTAGAAATAGGGACTCACAATGGAAGTCATCAAAGAATCACACAGGCACTGTTTTTCTCATTTTATTCATTTGTCAATGGTGTACAATTATTTATTTACATTGATAATGATTTTTATTATTGTATTACGTGGTTTCTTGATTCTTCACTCAAGTGTGACTCATTTGTTAATATCATTTCTAGCCTATCAAAAATATAAAGTGCACATTCCTTCAGAAATACAAATTCTATGGCATAGTGACATTTTTGATGGTGATCTGACGATTATTATGTACTTATTTTTTAATTAAATGTAACCTTTGGATAATAATAGATTGCTTTGCATATGTGTAGATGCTATGACATCATCCCAACAAAGTTCAGGTGATTATTGGGATGATGATTGGGATGATGATTCTGAAGTTGGACAAACGCAGGCTTACATTCCGCCCATGCAACAACAGCAACAGTCACAAATCATACAATTGCCGCAGCAAAACAATACTAGTGACTACGGCGATCAAGTGTCAATACATAACATACATTCTGTGATACCAGAGAAACCTATACCCACTGTACCAAAGAAAAACAATAAATTTTCTACATTGATTAAATCGGGAGAAGATAGTTTCTTGCTGGGTGTTAAGATGGTGACAGTGCCTGAGAGCGAAAAGATTTTTGTAGAGGAAGGAGAGGGTGGCCGATGCAGGTGGCTGCCAACTGGAGAGTCCTATAATTGCGTTGTCACATCGCCTAAGAAGGAGTCTAAGTTGAAGGGTCTCAAGAGTTTCATTGTCTATCAGCTAACCCCTACGGTAAAAAAAAAATCTGTTTCACCTTTTTCAAATGTCTCTAATAT